CAAAATCAGGTCTCAGTGAATGGGGCAATATCTCACCACCATTCACTTACCAGGGGACTTCAACCCCCTCTACTCACCTCCGGAGGATTTTTCTTCTAGATTCCTGCAAACGTTGACCCAGGGGCCTTCCAAGGCGGAGGAGAATTCCTAGTCATCTTGGGGCAAGGGAAGGAAGTCCCTAGTGGCTGTCTCCTCAGACTGACAGATTCTCCCCCATACTCAGACCCCCTGGGCTAAGGCCCGAGGCTAAGATCTTGCTGGTACCACTTGCAGGTGGTCAGTGGCAGTTTCATCTGACCGCGAGTTCTCCCTACTGGCCCTTCCAAGTTATTGCTAGATCCTCCAGGTTCCTCGCGCCCCCCCCCCCCTCACCCCCCTCTCCTTCTTCTGGATCCAGAGAGGGTGAAGGAGGTTGCAGTGAAGGGTAGAGAGGGAGGTCAGTTTAAAGTGCAAGTAAAAAAAGAGATAAAAAAGGAGCTAGAGGGGCTGGGAAAGTGGCTCAGTGGTAGCATGCTTGCCTTGCATGCATGAGGCCCTGGGTTTGATTCCTCAGCACCACATAAGCAGAAAAAGCTGGAAGTGGCACTGTGGCTTAAAGTGGTAGAGCACTAGCTTTGAGCTGAAGAGCTGAGGGACAGCGCCCAGGCCCAGAGTTCAGGCCCCATGACCGGCCAAAAAAAAAAAAAGGGGCTAGAGAGAGAAACAGATATTAAGGGGGTGTTAGCCATTCTCCTCTGGGCTCTGGCATCAGAATGAATCTGGGAGGAGAAATGTTTCAAGAATTCCAAAACACATACATACAAACATTGGGACAAAACACATTTACAACATGCACATTGTAGACTGTCAGACAGAAAGTGCCAGGCTCAACAGGGGACCTGAACACCTTCCAACTCACCAGGGGACTCAAAAAACTCCCAAAACAGCCTACCTATAAACTATCAGGTAGAAAGTGCCAGACTTCAGGCGGGCAGTGAGTGGGGTAATATCTCACCACCATTCACTCACCAGGGGACTCGAACCCCCTCTAAAAATCTCAAATGTCCACATTAGTGGATAGTTTACCCCCATGGGGATCCGCCGGGGGAAGTCTCCCACCGGTCCTGTTGGCTGTCTTATAGCGCGTCTGCCAAGACTTCTTGCCAACCCCAACCTGCAGGCAACACAGATACTACACAATTACAAAGCAGCAATGCCTTGACTTACCGGACATTCTTTGCGACTCTCTGATCAGGCGTCTGGGTGGGCTTATGAGGGGGATCCTGGATGAGCCCCAGAGACCACAACCAATGCAAACAGCAAAAGAATCGTTTATTTGCAAGCTTGAGCTTGGACTCACAATCGTCACTGATGCAGCAGGTCAGTCAGAGTTGTGAGCTCTTACCCCTTGTCCAGCAGGGTTTTTACTGAGTATGTAGCAGGGGGAACGATGTCAAGCTCATTGGTTAGTGGTATGATCATTTCCAGTAAGGGCAGGGACTTTCTAGCTTAGCGGTTACAGGATGGGTTAAATCATACATCATTGGTTGGATAAGTGGGGCTAACCACAGGACTGCTGAATTATGTCTTGTCCTAAATGTTTTCTCGACAGAGTTGGAGGAAGAGACTGCCCAAATAACTGGACTGGTCAGGGCAGACTGATCCCTTAATAATGCTTACTGTTATCTTGCCTTGGTGCAGATCTAACACTTACTTTCCAGTAACAGATGACAAGTGTTTTAGTTTTGTCTGAAATTACTGCTAAACTTATTTTTATTACTGCTAAACTTATTTTTGGTCTCTCATTTACCTCCATCTCCAACTTTTGGTTGAGAAGAAGGACTCTCCTGAACTTTTCTGCCTGGGCTGACCTAGAACCACAATCTTCCCAATCCTAGCATCCCAATTAGCTAGGTTTATAGGTGTGAGCTACCAGTGCTTGACTCTTCTTGTTTCTTGAGGCAGGGTCTTGCTTTATAGCTTAGGTTGGCCTCAAACTTGCTTTGTGGTCCAGACTGACCTAGAACTTATGATTTTCCTCCCTCAGCCTCCTAAATTTCTGGGATTATAGATGTGTGCCACCATATCCAGCTATAGTCAGCATTTAAAGGAATCATTTCTTGTACTATATTCCCCCCCCCCCCCCCTTTTTCATAGGCATGCTGTGGGAAGATGGATAAAAACATTTTTCTTTTTCTCTTTCGTTCTCCTTTCCCCTCATTTCTTTCTTTCTTGCTTGCTTGCTTGCCTACCTGCTTGCCTGCTTGCTTTCACTATTCACGGGGCTTGAACTTAGGATCTGGGCACTGTCCCTGAGCTTCTTTTTGTTCAAGGCTAGCACTCTACTACTTGAACCACAGAGCCCCTTCCAGCTTTTTCTGTTTATGTGGTACTGAGGAATCAAACCCAGTGCTTCATGCATGGTAGGCAAGCACTCTACCACTGAGCCACCTTCCCAGCACCCAGTTTGCTTTTTCTAACCACTTAAAAGCCCAGACTTTACTTATGCTTGGAACCTGCCTTTGTTAGGGATGCTCTATCTGAATCTCTCTAGTGTCCAGACTTGCTTCTAGTTCTTTGCCTGGCTCCTCATGTTTTGGCTTGTCCAGTGTCTACTTGCATGGTTCATAAGCTTGAGTTTATCCTTGCTATGGCTCCAGAGGGAATCCTTGCTCTTTGAGAATCATATAACTTGTACAGAAAAGCCTTTGTGATGGCCATGACTTTAGGAATTAGATGGTGAAAGAAATGCATTCTCTCTGTCTCTCTCTGTACTTTTCTGTCTCTCTCTCTTTTTGTCTCTCTAGACAGGGCTTTACTATGTATCCCAGGCTGGCTGGAGCTTATTATCCTCAACCTCAGTCTCCAGAGTTCTGTGATTACAAGTGTGTGCTGCTATGCTCAGTCAAAGAAATTATCTTAATCCCTGTGTATATGTTGGGGGAGAGTCTTGTTCTTTTTGCTTAATGTTCCACATAAGGGAAGTATGCTAAGAAGACCTCAGAATAGCCCTGAATATCACAGGTGATGATGCTTAGCTGGTATTGGGGAAAGAAAGAATAAAATACACCAAAGATAATGAGGCACACAGCAAGATGGGGAACAGGAAATGTGTGGCATGGGTCTGAAGAGACAGAGGGTGTTCTACCATTGCACATAATAATACAATTGTAACAGTGCTTGTATTTTCATACTCAAATTAAGGTATAATTAGCCTAAGCTGTAGAAATACTTCGCCAGGCAGTATCTTTCATTTTGTTTATCCAGCAAACCCACGAAGTATTTACTGTGTTTTCCCTTCTTTCAAGCGGGTGAAAGTAACTTAGAAGAGGTTCTGATTGTGCATATTTCATTCTGGTCAACTGGACGAAATGCTAAGTGGTCTTAACTGCTAGGTCATGCTGACTTGTGTATCTGCATTTTTTTTTTTTTTTTTTTTTTTGTCAGTCGTGGGGCTTGAATTCTTGGCCTGGGTTCTTCAGTTCAAGGCAAGTGCTCTACCACTTGAGCCACAGTGCCACAGCCAGTTTTCTGGTGGTTTATTGGAGACAATAGGCTCACAGACTTTCCTGCCTGGGCTGGCTTTGAACCTCAATCCTCAGATCTCAGCCTTCTGAATAGCTAGGATTATAGGTGTGAGTCCCCGGTGTCTGGCTTGCATTTGAATGGAAAGAAACTGTCTGCTGAAATTCTTTTTCTGGGTTAGGAGACACTTTGGGTAAGAATTGCTTCAGGTTTTGAGTTAATATTTAGATTTTGCTTTATGACCAGATTGCCAATAGTATTTGCCCTCAGAATAAGTTCTCACCTACCAAAAGCCATCTGGCTGTTAGGCTCTTGCCCACCTGGCTTTTGTGTTTTCCGGATGATTATCTTTTATTCTGTCATGCCTAAATTTCTCCTATCAAACACTTTTTTTTGGATATGTTATTAGTGGTGGTTAGATTGGTGATCCTTAGCTATAGTTACATTTGGAATCACCTGGAAACTTTTAATATGTCATAGTGCCTGGGCTTCTCAGAGAGATTAGAAAAAAATTTCTTCATCTGGGGGTAGAATTGTGGAGCCAGTCTTTTCTAAATTAATTGTCAGTCCTGGGATGAACTCAGAGGACTGTCCCTGAGCTTCTTTTGCTCAAGGCTAGTTCTCTACCACTTGAGCCATAGCACCACTTCCAGCCTTTTCTGTTTATATGGTACTGAAGAATGGAACCCAGGGTTTTATGGATGCTAGGCAAGCACTCTACCACTAAGCCATACTCCCAGCCTTTGGAGTCAGCTTTTTAAAAGCCTCCTAGGTGAATCTAAAGTCAATCAGGATTTTGAATTACTGAACTATATATAAATCCAATTGGTGGTTTATCTTATTATATTTATTTTATTTTTTATGAGTATGTAATTTTAAATGTTATTATCTTTACCTATACAAGGAAGTTTCTATTAAACACATCAGTTTATGAATGTATCTTAATTTTTTATTGTTGTTGTAAAGATGATGTACAGAGAGGTCACAGTTACATGACAGTTGGTAGGTTTGATCTAGAAACCTAGAGGAGAAAGCTCAAGATGTGAGTAGAATGGTTTGCAGTTAAGTGAAATCAGGGAAGGAGGGACACTTCTTGGTCCATGGCCATCTTGAGGACACTGGAGATTTTTGGGAATCGTCTCAACATCAGGGAGCCAGATACTGCCAGAAACAGGTGAGAGTAAAAGCACCATTGCCTGCTGTACATGTTTGGTGATTTCTGGGCCTGGAAAAGAAGACTTGAGATTGAATATAGTGGGTACAGAATGCTTAGCAGGTAGCTGATGGCCATCCTTTCAAAGTGAGGTATGCCACAACACTCCCATGTGTAATTCTGACATCACACCTGTCATCTGCAGCCCTGAGCCGTGTTTTATTCAGGAGATATCTAGGACAGGAGCATCTGAACCACGCCAAGTGCTAGACTGGTTCTCAATTACGTCCTCTGAGTTAGGGGTTTTGGGTTTTGACACTGCGTTTTTCCCTTTTCTGTTCAGATAATACACATGATTCCAGTCTCACTGTGGTGTGCCAAGAAGACAGTATTGAAGAGGAGTGGATGGGTTTACTGGGGTTCCTTTCCAGAATCTCAGCTTGTAAGAAAAAGAAAGGTAAGCAATTGGAGTGCTGCTTCTAGTTGTTTCCAGATCTGTATCAGGAGGCCCTGTGCAGCTGAGTAGCAGGGTGACTTGGCCCTTCCACATGCTCCTGCTACTTGGGGTGTGTTGCAAGGCTAGTGCTAGGAGATCCACGGCTAGCTGAAGAAGCAAACTCATTTTCATTGCTACTTGGAGTCCCAGAAATAAGGGGAGGTTTTTATTAAAAAAATAATTTTATTGTTATTATTGATGTGTTGTGTAGAGGGTTTACAATTTCATAAATCAGGTAGTAATGAGCAAACTTCTTTTTTATTTTTCTGTCAGTCTTGGAGCTTGAACTCAGGGCCTGAGTGCTGTCCCTGAGCCTCTTTGTGCTCAAGAATAGTGCTCTGCCACTTGAGCTACAATTACTTCTGGCCTTTTCTAAGTAGTTGATTGGAGATAGGAGTCTCACAGATTTCCTGCCTGGGCTGGCTTTGAACTGTGCTCCTTACATCTCTGCCTTCTGAGTAGCTAGGATGACAGGTGTGAGCCACTGGTGCCCTGCTAAAATGAGTACAGTTCTTTTTGGGCAGTGTCACTCCTTCTTTTGCTTTCCCCCATTTCCCTCCTCCTGCTCCTGCCCACCAGTTGCATAGTTTGTCCATGAGACTCTTTTTTTTTTTTTTTTTGGTCATGGGGCTTGAACTCTGGCCTTGGGTGCTGTCCCTGCGCTCTTCAGCTCAAGGCCAGTGCTTTACCGATTGAGCCACAGCACCACTTCTGGCTTTTTCTGCTTATGGTGCTGAGGAATCCAACCCAGGGCCTCATGCATGCAAGGCAAGCACTCTACCACTGAGCCACCTTCCCAGCCCCTGTCTATGAGACTCTTATCTCCAATAAACTACCAAAAAAGCAGAAAATAAAACTATTGCTCAAGTGGTAGAGCACTAAGCCTTGAGCAAAAGAAGCTCAAGGACAGCTTCCAGGCCCTGAGTTCAAGTCTCTGGACCAGCACACATACACAAAAATGACTTGAGTGCCGGGTGCTGGTGGCTCACACTTGTAATCCTAGCTACTCTGGAGGCTGAGATCTGAGGATTGCTATTGAAAGCCAGCCCGGCAGGAAAGTCCGTGAGAATCTTATGCCAATAAACCACTCAGACTACCAGAAGTGGTGCTGTGGCTCAAGTGATAGAGCACTCACCTTGAACTGAAGAGCTCAGGAACAGTGCCCAGGCCCACCCCCCCACAAAAAAAAATGGTATGAGCTTCAGACTAATGGTGTAAGATTCAAACAAGATTTTCTGGCTGGTGACTGCATGTACATTTGTCTTTTAGTTAGTTGTGTATATAAAACACTGGGCATTAGATTTTGGGGGCCTTTCAGAGCCAAAAGACTAGAAAACTTACTCTTTCTGTTTCTCTCCCTAACTGCTATTTTCTCTAGGTTGCAAATCTGTTTTCTTTTTCTTTTGTTTGTTTGTTTTGGTTGGTCATGGGGCTTGAACTCTGGGCCTGGGCGCTGTCGCTCAGCTCTTCAGCTCAAGGCTAGCACTCTACTACCTGAGTCACAGCACCACTTCCGGTTTTCTGGTGGTTTATTGGATATAAGTGTCTCATGGACTTTCCTGCCCGGGCTGACTTTGAACTGTGATCCTCAGATCTCAGCCTCCTCGGTAGTTAGGATTATAGGCATGAGCCATTGGTGCCCGGCTTTTTTTTTTTTTTTTTTTTCCTGAGACTGGTACCAGAATTCAGTATCTGATGCTTTTGCTTATTGGTTGGTGCTTTACTACATGAGCCACATCTCCAACCCCTTATTTTCCTTCGTAGGAATGCAAACTTGCTTTAATATGAGCCTGTATCTTATGCTTCATTGATTCACATTTGCAAACAGGAGTAACACATGTCTGCTTCTCTAGTTCACAGTCAGTGCTCACATTACATTTGTGTTCTTGGAACTTCACAGTTTTTAGTGTCCCCCAAACACACCTTTTTATTTTTATGCCAGTACTGGGCCTTGCACTCTGGTTTGGCGTTTTGTTTTGTTTTTTTCCTCGGTTGTGGGGCTTGAACTCTGGGCCTGGACACTATCCCTCAGCTCTTCAGCTCAAGGTGAGCACTCTATCACTTGAGCCACAGCACCACTTTCGATTTTCTAAGTGGTTTATGGAGTTCCCTGACTAGGCTGGCTTTGCACTGCAATCCTCAGATCTCGGCCTCCTGAGTAGGGGTTTGGCATTTTTGCTTAAGGCGGTGCTCTACCACTTGAAGCATCTTTACTTGCAGCTTTTTGGTGATTAATTGGAGATAAGTCGCATGGAGGTTTCAGCCTGAGTTGGCTTCAAATCAGAATGCTCAGTTCTCAGCCTCCTGATTAGCTAGGGTTATAGGCATGAGCCACCAGAGTCTGTTTCAATACTCCTTCTCAGGGCACAGGATTATTATTATTATTTTTGTGAATGTATTTTTTCAGGCTTATTTGTTGCTCATCTCAGATATGTGTAGGCTACTTCTACAGTCTAACTTTCTGTCTCTGTCATAGATTACTGTAAGAAGTACAGAAGACATGTGAGAAGTAGATTCCACTGTATTGAAGATAGGAATGCACGTCTAGGTGAGAGTGTGAATCTCAATAAACGTTACACGCGGCTGCAGCTGGTCAAGGAGCACCCAAGCCAGCAGGAGAGGGAGCATGAGCTGCTGGCCATTGGCAGGACCAAGATATGGGACAGCCCCATGAGTCCTATTAAGCTGGAATCGCTGTTTGATCCCGATGATGAACACTCTGAGCCCGTGCACACGGTGGTATTCCAGGGAGCGGCAGGCATTGGGAAGACAATACTGGCCAGGAAGATTATGCTGGACTGGGCATCAGGGAAGCTGTTCCAAGATAAGTTTGACTATTTATTCTACATCCACTGTCGCGAGGTGAGCCTTGTGATGTCGAGGAGCCTGGGGGACCTGATTGTCAGCTGTTGCCCTGACCCCAACCCACCCTTGTGCAAGATCATGCACAAGCCCTCCAGGGTCCTCTTCCTCATGGATGGTTTTGACGAGCTCCAGGGTGCCTTTGATGAGCACATAGGAGCGCTCTGCACAGACTGGCAGAAGGCTGAGAGGGGGGACATTCTCCTGAGCAGCCTCATCAGAAAGAAGCTGCTGCCTGAGGCCTCTCTGCTCATCACTACGAGACCAGTGGCCCTGGAGAAGCTGCAGCACCTGCTGGACCACCCACGTCACATAGAGATCCTGGGTTTCTCTGAAGCCAAAAGGAGGGAGTATTTCTTCAAGTATTTCTCAGATGAGGCACAGGCCAGTGAGGCCTTCAGGCTGATCCAGGAGAATGAGGTCCTCTTCACCATGTGCTTCATCCCCTTGGTGTGCTGGATTGTGTGTACAGGGCTAATGCAGCAGATGCAGAGTGGCAAGAGCCTCGCTCAGACCTCTAAGACCACCACTGCAGTCTATGTCTTTTTCCTGTCCAGTCTCTTGCAGTCCCGAGGAATGGGCCAAGAGCCCCACCTCCATGCCAACCTCCGTGGGCTCTGCTCTTTGGCTGCTGATGGAATCTGGAACCAGAAAATTTTATTTGAGGAATGTGACCTCAGGAATCACGGCCTGCAGAAGGTGGATGTGTCTGCTTTCCTGAGGATGAACGTGTTCCAGAAGGAAGTGGACTGTGAGAAATTCTACAGCTTTATTCACATGACTTTCCAGGAGTTCTTTGCTGCTATGTACTATTTGCTGGAAGAGGAAGAAGACAATGTGATGACAAGGAGCAAGTCCAGGAGTTGTTCAGAGCTTCCAAACCGAGATGTGGCGGTGCTCCTGGAAAACTATGGCAAATTCGAAAAGGGATATCTGATCTTTGTGGTCCGCTTCCTTTTTGGCCTTGTAAATCAGGAGAGAACCTCTTATTTGGAGAGGAAATTAAGTTGTAAGATCTCCCAGCAAATCAGACTGGAGCTGCTGAAATGGATTGAAGCAAAAGCCAAGGCCAAGAAGCTGCAGATGCAGCCCAGCCAGCTGGAGCTGTTCTATTGCCTGTATGAGATGCAGGAGGAGGACTTTGTGAGAAGGGCCATGGACCACTTCCCCAAAATTGAGGTCAATCTCTCCACCAGAATGGACCACATGGTTTCTTCATTTTGCATTGAGAACTGTCACAGAGTAGAAACACTTTCCCTGGGCTTTCTCCATAACTCGCCCAAGGAGGAAGAAGAGGAGGAGGAAGACAGTCCACACGCGGGCATGGCCCGCTGTGCCCTCCAAGGCCCTCGCGATACCAGCGCTCACACGTAAGGAGGGTGACCTCCAGAAGGTGGTAGAATATGGCAGCTGCTTTCTGGCTACTTTGCTTGTTGCCTTCTTTTTTCTCTCTTTTGAACATTTTCTGACTATAACTGTCAAGCTACATAGCAACACCATCAGACTCAATACTCCCAGAATATAGGACACTCACATTTGGGAAGGAATGCCAGTTCAGCACAATGAATCAGGATATGGAGCAGGTGTGAAAATGTTCACTCTAGTTCATTCTTTTAGTTCATTTTTCTTTTTCTTTTTTTGGGTCCGGTCGTGGGGCCTGAACTCTGGGCCTAGGCGCTGTCCCTCAGCTCTTCAGCTCAAGGCTAGCACTCTACCACTTGAACCACAGCGCCACTTCCGGGTTTTTTCTTATGTGGTGCTGAGGAATCGAACCCAGGGCCTCGAGCTTGCAAGGCAAACCCTCTACCACTAAGCCACCTTCCCAGCCCAAGATCAATTTATCACAAGCTGGAAGCTGAGAAGACCATGGTTGAGAGGCTGGAGCCTCTGTGCTATGTCCTGCCCTAATTGAAGGAGCAAGACTGCTCTTTTAAGCTCCCTTTTATAAGGGCACTAAGCTCACTTATGGAGCACCATGATTAATCACCCCACAGACCTCATCTCCTAATGCCATCACACTGGGGGCTAGGGGATCAAGATGATTTTGTTACTTATTCATTTAGACAGGGGAGAGATGGGCATTCAGGTTACAGTAATGTAGGAGGGAGGTACAAAAGAGGGAGACAGAAAAGAAGGAAGACATGCTCCTTAAGGTCCTAAAAGAAAAGAGGAGAGAACAAGAGGTATGACCAAGATCATGCACCTTTGAAGAAAGTGATGGCTTACAGGGCCTGGCTAAAGTTCCTGGTCAGAAGTGAGGTATGCATCCACTTTCTAGATGACATTTACAGAGAAGGTAATGATTGCTTTGGATTCTAGAACCTTCGGAAAGACCAGTGGTGAAGTGATACTAGGTGCCCATTGTAAATGCAGAATTGAAGACCTTTGCAGTCAGATTCCTCAGTTTAAATTTTTTTTGGCAGTATGGGGTTTGAACTCAGGACCTTGCACTCCATTTAAATGAATTATAGCCCCAGCCCCAACTTTTGCATTGATCACTTATTTATTTATTTGTAGTATGCTACTATTTTTGAGTCACCGTTCCATTTCTAGTTTTTTTTTTTTTTTTTTTTTAGTTCATTGAAGTTAAGAGTCTCACAGATTTTCCTTCCTGGGCTAGTTTTGTACTAAGATACTCAGATCTCAGCCTCCTGAGTAGCTAGGATTACAGGTGTGAGCCACTGGCACCTGGCAATGCACTGAATAGTTTTGAGTCAAGGTCTTGCTTCTTCCCTGTGTTTGTGCCTGGACCACGATCCCCCTATTTTTCATGTTCTACAGTAGCTGAGATGGCAGGCATGCCGAGCTTCTTCCATTGAAAGGAGATTCACAGACTTTCCCATCCAGAAAGCCTAGAGCCATGATCTTCCCAACCTCAGTCTCCCAAGTAGCTGGGTGTGCAGGTGTGAGCCACCAGTTCCCAGCTCAAACTGCATTTTAACAGGAGCTTCAGGTAATTTAAATGTAAATTTCTGGAATGGCTTAAAATTAATATAGAATGATCTCACTCAGAGATTCTGACTTTATATCTATGGGCACAGCCTGGTTTCAGGATTTTTTTTTTTTTTGGGTCCCGTCGTGGGGTCTGAACTCTGGGCCTGGGCACTGTCCTTCAGCTCTTCAGCTCAAGGCTAGCACTCTATCACTTGAGCCATAGCAACACTTCCGGCTTTTTTCTTTTTGCTTATGTGGTGCTGAGGAATCGAACCCAGGGCCTCATGCATGCAAGGCAAGCGCTCTACCACTGAGCCATTCCCAGCCCTGGTTTCAGGATTTTTGAGAATGTACTCTGCTGCTGTGCAGCCCATGCGAGAGGCTTTCCTCTTTCTTTTAAAAAATTATTTTATTAAGCCGGGCACTGGTGGCTCATGCCTGTCATCCTAGCTACTCAGGAGGCTGAGATCTGAGGATCACAGTTCAAAGCCAGCGGGGGCAAGAAAGTCTGTGAGACTCTTATCTCCAATAAACCACTAGAAAACAGCAAGTGTTGCTGTGGCTCAGGTGGTAGAGCGCTGGCCTTGAGCTGAAGAGCGCTTGCCTTGAGCTGAAGAGAACAAGGACAGCGCCCAGGCCCAGAATTCAAACCCCACAACCGGAAAAAAAATATTTTATTATCTTTGAGTAGTTATACAGGAATTGCCATTAAAAAGCAGTTTATAAATGTAATGCATCGGGGCTGGGAAGGTGGCTCAGTGGTAGAGCGCTTGCCTTGCATGCCTGAGGCTCTGGGTTCGATTCCTCAGCACCACATAAACAAAAAGAAAAAAGCCGGAAGTGGCACTGTGGCTCAAGTGGTAGAGCACTAGCCTTGAGCTGAAGAGCTGAGGGACAGCGCCCAGGCCCAGATTTCAGGCCCCACGACCAGACCCAAAAAAAAAAAAAAATGTAATGCATCTTGGTCAGTGACATCCCTTTTACCATGTGACAGTCTCTTTTTAGAGCAGTAATTCCAGAGGGTCCAACTAGGACAGGTCAGCTGACTGCTGAGGGAGGGTGGACGATGCTCATGACTGGCCAAAGGCTCTCAGTTTTTTGTCAAAAGGTAGAAGTTCTCTTCAAAGTCTCACCTACCCTCTCACTCCTCCATGAATATTCTTTGGATTTGTGATCTACTTCTTAAGCCCCAGGAGGGCTCCCTCATCCCTTTTTTTTCTTTTTCCTCTTCTTCTTCCTCCTCTTCCTCTTCCTCCTCCTCCTCCTCCTCCGACAAGATCCTCCTGTACAGCTCAGCTGGCCTTGACTTGAGATCCTCCCTACCTTAGCTTCCTGAGTGCTGAGATTAAAGATGGGTGCCAGGCTGGGAAGGTGGCTCAGTGGTAGAGCGCTTGCCTTGCATGCATGAGGCCCTGGGTTCAGTTCCTCAGCACCACATAAGCAGAAAAAGCCAGAAATGGCACTGTGGCTCAAGTGGTAGAGCACTAGCCTTGAGCTGAAGAGCTGAGGGACAGCGCCCAGGCCCAGAGCTCAGGCCCCATGACCAGCAAAAAAAAAAAAAAGATGGTGCCACCATGTCCTCCTCCTGGGAATCATTTGTATGAACGGTGCCAAGCACCCTGGGCTCTTACTCGTTTCTTCTTGTTAGAGATCAATGTTCTTTTCTGTTCTTCTGCCTTCTCATTTCTAGAGTGGTGAACTGCTGTCTAACGTCCAGCTTTTGTCGGGGCCTCTTCTCCGTTCTGGGCAGTAACACGAGTCTAACTGAGCTAGACCTAAGCGACAATGTGCTGGGGGACCCAGGGATGAGGGTGTTGTGCGAAACACTCCAGAATCCTGGCTGTAACATTCGGAGACTGTGGTAAGTCCCTGTGTGTGTGTGTGTGTGTGTGTGTGTGTGTGTGTCTGTCTGTCTGTCTGTCTGTCGGGGTGGGGGAGGGGGCGCTATCCCTGGACTCTTTTGCTCAAGGTCAGTGCTCTGCTACTTTGAGCCACAGTTGCACTTCCTGTTTTCTGTGTGATTAATTGGAGATGAATCTCATGCACTTTCCTGCCTGGGCTGGCTTTGAACTGTGATCTTCAGATCTCAGCCTCCTGAGTAGCTAGGATTATAAGCGTAAGCTACCAGTGCCTGGCAGCAGCGTTGGTTTATCTGAGGACTCATCTTTTGGCTTGTAGATAACTCCTTTCTTCTGATAACTTTACACAATATAGATGTGCTAACCTCATTTTTTTTTAGCTTTTTTTTTTTTTCCTCCCGCTCAGTCAAGGGGCCCGAACTCTGGGCCTGGGCACTGTCCCTCAGCTCTTCAGCTCAAGGCTAGCACTCTACCACTTGAGCCACAGCACCACTTCTAGCCTTTTCTACTTATGTGGTGTTGAGGAATCGAACCCAGGGCCTCATGCATGCAAGGCAAGCACTCTACCACTGAGCCGTCTTCCCAGCCCTCATTTTTTTTTTTTAAATAAGTGCCAGTATTGGGGCTTGAACATAAGAGCCTTGAGCTCTTGCCGGCTTTTCTGTTCAAGTCTGGCAATTTACCACTACAGCTCCAGTCCCAGATTCTTGGATAGCTAATTGGACATAAGAGTCTTATGGACTTTCCTGCCCTGCTAGATTCAAACTTGGATACTCAGATCTCAGCCTCCTGAGTAGCTAGGATTAAAAGCATGTTGAACCACCTGTACCTGGCTCTAACCTGGCTCTTACAAGGAAGCAATCACAAACTAACAGCTCATTTTAACATAATTAGTATTTGGAGATCATAGTTGTTATTTGTGGCCTCCTGAGTAGGATTTCCACACAAGAACTTTTGGAGGACATATTCCAGTCACTGTACGTGGGGAGACAGAATGTAGTGGAGGTCAGTTTGGGGAGTTTCAATGGGGAAAAATGAAGAGGAACTGAAAAGAGTCATTTCTCAGTAGTAAAACAAAAAGTCTACAACTCTGAGTGCCTTTCATTTCCTCATGGGCTCTGTTCCTAGATGATAACTGGAGAGTTTCCTCAGAGACCATCATGGCTTCCTGAGTTAGAGCACAGCACAATGTTTGGATAGGTTGAAATGTCACAGATGCTTTCCTGTGCCTTGTGTGTGAGCATGTGCTCACACACGTGTGTGCGTTATCTACCATTTGAGTCACAGCACCACTTCCCGCTTTTTCTGACTAGTTTACTGGAAATAAAAGTCTCACAGGCTTTCCTGCCTGGGCTGGCTTTGAACCATTTCACAATCCTCAGATCTCAGCCTCCTGAGTAGCTAGGATTGCACGTTTCAGCCACCAGTGCCCGACCTCTTGTGTCTTTTTTTTTTCACCTGAACTGAAGAGCTGAGGGACAGCGTCCAGGCCCAGAGTGCAAGCCCCACGACCAACAAAAATAAGTAAAGAAAAACTAAAAGAGTTCTTTTGGTTGTTGTTGGTCGAGGGCTTGAACTCTGGGTTTGGGCGCCGTTCCTGCGCTCTTCAGCTCAAGGTGAGCGCTCTACCGCTTGAGCCACAGCGCCACTTCCGGTTTTCTAGTGCTTTATTGGAGATAAAAGTCTCACAGACTGTCCTGCTGGGGCTGGCTTTGAACTGCGATCCTCAGATCCCAGCCTTCTGAGTAGCTAGGATTATAGGCGTGAGCCACTGGCACCTGGCTATAAAGAGATTTCTTTAGCTCACAGTTTTAGAGTCTGAAAGTCCAAGCAGTCTGGTGAGGGAATATGGTGGATTACTCACTGTGGGAATGTGGGCCAGAGAGGGAGATTACATATTGAGAAAGAAAACCAGAAAGTGAGGAAAGTTCATACTCTTCATATCATTAGTTGTTTGTAGGAACTAATGGGATCCCATAAGAACTATGTTAATTTCTTTTGAGGACAGAATTACCTTGCATTTGGCCCCACCTTTAAAGGTTCCACAATCTCCCTATATCCCTACAAATCAAGTATCTGACACATGAACCCTTGTAGAACAACCCATACACAAACAATAATATGTAACAAATCAAGAACCAGAGCTCCTGTTCTCTTAATTTCTCCTTCAGTACAGATGGAATGCCCAGATTAAGTCAGCTAGCAAAAAAGAGGAACAGTGTTGGCAAGGACAGGAAGTCTGTGTCATCAGTGTCCAGTGCTGGTACTTCAACTATTAGAAATACCAAAGAAATGGAAACCACAGGCTTCTATTTGTGCACCTGTGGGTGGATCATGACATTCCTGGCATTATTTACAGTGCCCAGCCCTGAACACTGTGTCCTCAGGCTGTGAGCCAGTGAGCCTGGGAATGCTGTGTCTTGGTCTGTGTCAGGAGCTCTCTGGTCAGATGAGCTGCCTGCCATGAACTTTGTTACACAAGCCCCTTCCTGGTGAAGAAACTGAGGGAAGACTGTAAGGAGGGGCAGTTAGAGTCAGACCTCTATCCATGAGACAATCTCAGAAAAGCAATGTACAAACAGAAGGGTTTATTTTGAGGAGTTTATTTACATCATAGTGGAGAGAGAGAGAGAGAGAGGAGACCATGGCCCCAATATTCCCTCCAAGGTGCACGTCCAGTGACTTTGCTTCATTCACAGACCCCACTTCCACAAGGTAGCCTCAGCACATGACCTTAAGTAAGGTCTAAACTGTGAGAGCGGTGAGAGGCCTCTGACGCTCTGCTTCTGTACTTGGCATGAAGGTTGGGACGCTGCGGCCTTTCCCATCAGTGCTGTTTTGACATCTCCTCAGTCTTGAGCAGCAACCAGAAGCTGATAGAATTGGACCTGAGTGACAATGCCCTGGGAGACTTTGGAATCAGACTCTTGTGTGTGGGGCTGAAGCATCTATCCTGCAATCTGAAGAAACTCTGGTGAGTTTGCATTCATGTCTCTTAGAAGCTCTGTCTGTTTGGAGAGCTCTGACTTCAGTGAGAACAGCAGGAGCTGGTGTTCTTGTGTGAGAACAGCCTCCTATCTGCCCGAAGATTTTGTGCTCATCTGTTTGCTTGCCAGTCATTTAGTCAGCTAGTGCTTGCATGAGGAAAGCCACGTATGAGAGTCCAGCAAATGACAAAAAAAAAGATGGTTGCCTTTAAGGTATGTATGATATAGCTGAGAAAACAAAACTACTGCAATACAATGCTTTAGGACATGAACCTTGAGCCTTCACATCGGGCTGAGGTAATGGAAACACTGCGTTTGTCACTGACCGCTTCTGAGTCACTTGGATTCTAAACAAGAGAAAAAGTGCCAAAAAATGGCAGGCCTAGCTCATTACCATGATGATTATAGAAAAAAAAAACATAAAAAACCCTAGTGAAGTAGAGTGGCCAAGAATGGGAGAAATTAGAGCTTTGTGCATTGCTAGTGAATGCAAAACTGTGGAAAACAATGATGCTCTCTTTCTCTCTCTCTCTCTTTTTTTTTTTTTTGCCAGTCCTGGGGCTTGAACTCAGGGCCTGGGCGATGTCCCTGAGCTGCTTTTGCTCAAGGCTAGCACTCTACCACCTGAGCCACAGCACCACTTCTGGCTTTTTCTGTGTATGTGGTACTGAGGAATCGAAACCAGGGCTTCATGCATGCTAGGCCAGCACTCTTCCACTGAGCCACCTTCCCAGGCCCTTTTGGCAGTTTTTATGATTAACTGGAGACTCTCAGAACCTCCTGAATAGCTAGGATTACCAGCATGAGCCACTGGCATCCAGCTCCATACATTTATTTGTAATAAGTTTATCACCATAAATAAATAATATTTATTTATTTATTTGTTTTATTTGCTATTATTTTTATTATTTAGTGGCTCAGTGGTAGAGTGCTTGCCTTGCATGCATGAGGCCCTGGGTTCCATTCCTCAGCACCACATAAATAGAAAAGGCTGGAAGTGGCCCTGTGGCTTAAGCAGTAGAGCACCCACCTTGAGCTGAAGAGCTGAGGGACAGCGCCCAGGCCCAGAGTTCAAGCTCCACCACCAAAAAACAAAAAAACCATATATTTGTTATTGGACACTGTTGAATTATGTCTGTGATCCTAGCCACACGAGTCAGATCTTAGGATCCCAGTTCAAAGACAGTCTGGGTAGAAAATTCCACAAGACTCTGTCTCCAATTAACCAGTAAAGCAACCATTCTGGAGGAGGGACTCTAGTGGTAGAGCTTCAGCTGTGAACAAAAAAGGCACGTGCGAGTGGCAGGTCCTGAGTGTAAGCCCCAGTACTGTCACACGCGCATGTGCGGCCCCCCCCCCCCCCGCGTCCCCACCCCCATCCCATGATTGTAGGGGCAGGGAAGATGTGTTTGGAAGGTGCTTACCTGTTACTACACCGAGCACCCTCTTCCTATGTGTGAACCGAAGGAGAGGGGTCACCTCAGTGTGTGGTGGAGGGGGGACAGACGTGACCCTGACTTTCTCCTGTCTTTGTGGAAGGTTGGTCAGTTGCTGCCTCACATCGGCCTGTTGTCAGGATCTGGCGACCGTCCTCAGCACCAGCTGCTCCCTGACCAGACTTTATGTTGGGGAAAATGCCTTGGGAGATTTGGGAGTTGGAATTTTATGTGAAAAGGTGAAGCATCCGCAATGTAACTTGCAGAAACTGGGGTAAGTGTTTGTATCTCAGCAGAAAGGAAAATCCTCCGCAAAGATAAATTATTTGGAAAATACAGATGGGGTTACTCTTAAAAAAAGTTAACTGGGTGGAGCTGAGGGTAGAGACCAGTAATAACAAGATCAGAAAGGGTTTGAAGCATTAGCTGTGTGTTGCTGAATACAGGTGGCTTTCTATATTTACAGGATCAGCACTGCATATTCAGCTAACCACTGTGAATAAAAATATTTGAAAAATATTATATCATTGAAATATGTAAACTTTTACCTTGTCATCACTCCTTAAGTGGTACATCATAACAATTATATATAGTGTAACAGCATGCCTTCTATTAGATACTATACATACCCTAGAGATCATTTAAAGTATGTGGAGGATGTGCATAGGATGTGCAAATACTAAGCCATTTTATATAAGGAACTTGAGCACTTGTGGGTTTTAGTTCCTTGAGAGTTGTGTAATCAATTGCCCAAACATACAGAGGGACCACTTGATTATTGTTAATAATTTATGTCAATTTAAGATGATAGAATTGAGGGTTCTTAGAATGGGAAGAAACCTTTTAGATTGTATAGCCCTTGGGTGGTGACTTGTAAAGCAGTCACATGGATGGCTACCCATGTTATGTCTGTAGTCTTGCAAGCACGCAAGGTTACTGCCCTGGGAGAGCTCTTCTCCATGTCGCACTGGTTTCTGTGCCACTGGTCCTTGTCCTTCTCTCCAGGGGTCCAAGAAGCAACTCCAGCCCCATTCCCCAGATACAGCACTTACGTTTTAGGTCTTCCTGTCCCTGAATCCCCAACCACAATGCAAATTAGCATCTCCACCTCTTTAGTTATGCTCTCTCTTGTAAGGGCTGGCTTTTTAATGTCTCTCTTTGAACTGCATGGTACAATGTTTGCTTCCTGTGGCAGTAGCAAAGGATAATTTCAGAATCTTTTGGCAGTTGTATCCAGGTTTTGAAGTTGGAATTCTGCAGTAAATAAGACTAGAAAGTATCAGTTGGCTGCCTATTGTCTTAGCAGGAAGCTGAGATATGAAGATCACAGTTCAAAGCCAGCCTGGACATGAGAGTTCATGAGACTTCTCTCCAGTTAGCCTCCAAAAAGCCAGAACTGGAGCTGTGGCTCAAGTGTTAGAGCACGAAACTTGAGTGAAAAAGCTGAGGGAGCACTCAAGCCTAAAGTTCAACTTGAGTACTGGTGCGTGCACACGCACACACGTGAGTTACTTTGGTTGACCTCAGAAAGATGAGTCAAAAATGGCTACCAGGACTCCTGATTTGAGGAAAAGAAAAATGAGGCCCAGGAGTGCCTGACTTTGTCTCAGGACACCTAGATGAAAGGGTGCAAGGCCGCAGAGCGCACCACACACACAGCTTGGTGATTCCTGGCCCTGCCTTCATCTCCAGGGCCGCCGCTGCCTGATGACGTGCCTCAGGCTTTCTGAAGCCCAAGCTAGCTCTCCTTCCCTTTCCTGTCCTCCTGTCCTTTCCCTTCCTTTCCCTCTTCCTTTTTCCCTTCCTTTCCTTTCCTCTTTCCTTCCTTCCTTCCTCCCTTCCTTCCTTCCTTCCTCCCTTCCTCCCTCCCTCTCTCCCTCCCTCCCTTCCTTCCTTTTTATTTATTTATTTATTTTATTTATTTTTTTGGGGTCCGGTCGTGGGGCCTAAACTCTGGCCTGGGCGCTGTCCCTCAGCTCTTCAGCTCAAGGCGAGCACTCTACCACTTGAGCCACAGCACCACTTCTGGCTTTTTTTTCCTGCTTATGTGGTGCTGAGGAATTGAACCTAGGGCCTCATGCATGCAAGGCAAGTGCTCTACCACTGAACCACCTTCCCAGCCCCTCTCTTTCTTTTTCTTTCTTCCTTTCTTCCTTTCTTTCTTTCGTTCTTTCCTTCCTTCCTTCCTTCTTTCTTTCTTTCTTTCTTTCTTTCTTTCTTTTTTCTTTCTTTCTTTCGTCAGTTGTGGGGATTGAACTCTGGGCCTGGGCGCTGTCCTTGTGCTCTTCAGCTCAAGGTGAGCTCTCTACCGCTTGAGCCACAGCACCACTTCCAGTTTTCTATCGGTTTATTGGAGATAAGAGTCTCATGAACTTTCCTGCCCGGGCTGGCTTTGAGCCTCGATCCTCAGATCTCAGCCTCCTGAGTAGCTAGGATGACAGTTGTGAGCCACCGGCACCAGGCTTGCTTCTTTCTTTCTTCCTTTCTTTCTTTCTTTCTTTCTTTCTTTCTTTCTTTCTTTCTTTCTTTCTTTCTTCCTTCCTTCCTTCCTTCCTTTCTTTCTTTCTTTCTTTCTTTCTTTCTTTCTTTCTTTCTTTCTTTCTTTCTTTCTTTCTTTCTTTCTTTCTTTCTTTCTTTCTTTCCTTCTTTCTTCCTTCCTTCCTTCCTATCTTTCTTTCTTTCTTTCTCTCTCTCTCTCTGTCTCTTTCCGCCAGTTTTGGGGCTAGAACTCAGGGCCTGGGCTCTGTCTCTAAGCTTCTTTTGCTCAAGGCTATCACTCTACTACTTGAGCCACAACACCACTTCTGTCTTGCTTTTTCTGTTTATGTGGTACTGAGAAATTGAACCCCCTCCCCCCACACAATACCTCTGAATAATTTATGCACATACCATGTATTGTCACTCTTCCATAAGTTACTTTGGTTGGCCTCAGAAAGATGAAGCAATAGTAATTGTGAAGTGTAGATCCCAAAAAGCTAGAAGAAAGAAATTAGAATGTTTTTGTCGTAGAGAAGTGACAAATGTTTGACTATCTGGCTCTTTCTCTTGGAAGAATACTGCATGCAGCCCCTATGATTTCTTCTGCTAGCTTATTGTTTCTCCTCAGCATTTTGGGATCCACTATTTTTTGTTTATTTTACAAATCCAGGGGCTGGAAAGTTGGCTCAGTGGTAGAGCGCTTGACTTGCATGCATGAGGCCCTGGGTTCGATTCCTCAGCACCACATAAGCAAAAAGAAAAAAAGCGGAAAGTGGCGCTCTGGCTCAAGTGGTAGAGCGCTAGCCTTGAGCTGAAGAGCTGAGGGACAGCGCCCAGGCCCAGAGTTCAGGCCCCACGACCGGACCGCCCCCCCCCCCCCCCAAAAAAAAAAAGCAAAAAAAAAAATCCATTTGGCCTCCACTTTCTATATAGGCTGGAGACCCTGTTGTGGGTACTAATGGCAGAAGTAAGGAAAACAAAACAAGGCCCTATTTTCACAAAGCTTTTCCTCCTCCTCCTCTTCTCCTCCTCTTCCTCCTCCTTCCCCTCCCTTCCTCCTCCTCCTCTTCTTCTTCTTCTTCTTCCTTTTTTTTTTTTGTCGGTTGTGGGGCTTGAACTCTGGGTCTGGGTACTGTCCCTCAACTCTTCAGCTCAAGGCAAGCACTCAACCAACTGAGCCACAGTACCGCTTCTGGTTTTCTGAGTGGTTTATTGGAGATAAGAGTCTCACGGTCTTTCCTGCTGGGGCTGGCTTTGAACCGCGATCCTCAGATCTCAGCCTCCTGAGTAGCTAGGATTACAGGCGTGAGTCACTGGCGCCTGGCCAAGAGTACATTTCTTTTTGGATAATGTCACCCCTTCCTCACTCTCCCCCAGTTTTCTCCTCCCATCCCCACCCACAAGAACATAGAGTCTAGTGAGTACCACTGCTGCATTTATTAAGGCTGAAGTTTTTTTGTTTTGTTTCCTTGTCAGTTTTGGGGCTTGAACTCTGGGCCTGGGCTGTCCCTCAGCTCTTCAGTTCAAGGCTACAGCACTTCCAGTTTTCTGGTGGCTAATTGGAGATAAGAGTATCATGGAAGTTCCTGCATGGGCTGGCTTTGAACTGTAATCCTAGTTACTCAGGAGGCTGAGATCTGAGGATCGAAGCCAGCCCAGGCAGGAAAGTCTGTGAGACTCTTATCTCCTACTAACCATGGAAAACCAGAAGTGATGCTGTGGCTCAAGTGGTTGAGCACTCGCCTTGCCTTGAGCTGAAGAGCTGAGGGACAGCACCCAGACCCAGAGTTCAAGACCCACAACCACCAAAAAAAATTTTTTTTCTTCGTTTTTGAAGTCAGAGTGAAATTGCTATAGTTTAGATTAGCACACCAGCCATCCTTACTCCTGTCCTTTTCCTTTTCTTTTTTCCAGTCCTAGGGCTTGAACTCAGGGCCCAGGCACTGTCCCTGAGCTTCATGTGCTCAAGGCTAGTGCTCTACAACTTGAGCCACAGCACCACTTCTGGCTTTTTCTGTTTATATAGTACTGAGTAATTGAGCCCAGGGCTTCATGCATGCTTGGCACACACTCTACTACTGAGCCACATTCCCAGCCCAAAAGTCTTCTGTTAGTTTGCTTCTCTTCTTTGGGGTTGAGTAAGAAAACATCATTCCCCCTCTGAGCTTCAAACTCAGGGCCTTCCGACTATGATACTGATGCACTGCTTCTGCACTAGGGAGGCTGCTGACCCTGCCCTCTTTCCCGAGTCCCTCAGAGTCACGCTCCCTCGCTCTTTCTTACCCTTGTATTTTTGTCTTCTTTGTTGAGAAGTTGATTACCCCAATCTCCTTCTTTCCATTGTCAGTCTGGAAGCTCTCACTTATTCTTTTTTTTTTTTCTTTTTGGGTCTGGTCGTGGGGCCTGAACTCTGGGCCTGGGCGCTGTCCCTCAGCTCTTCAGCTCAAGGCTAGCACTCTACCACTCAAGCCACAGCGCCACTTCCGGCTTTTTTCTTTTTGCTTATGTGGTGCTGAGGAATCAAACCCAGGGCCTCCGGCTTGCAAGGCAAGCACTCTACCACTGAGCCACCTTCCCAGCCCTCTCACTTATTCTTTAAGTACTTATTCTGTTTTCCTAACTTAAGGTTGTAATAATTCAATAAGATAATCCTATTTAATGTCATGTAATAGATTTAATAAATTCTCATTATTATAAAACAGTTTTGTGACATAAGGCAGAATATTAATAGAAAATTACGAGTTGGAGCTGGGCACTGGTGGCTCACATCTGTAATCCTAGCTACTCAGGAGGCTGAGATCTGAGGATTGCGGTTCAAAGCCAGCTAGGCAGGAAAGTCAGTGAGACTCTTATCTCCAATAAACCACTCAGAAATCCAGAAGTGGTGCTATGGCTCAAATGGTAGAGAGCTAGACTTGAGCTGAAGAGCTGGGGGACAGCATTCAGGCCCAGAGTTCAAGCCCCATGACTGACAAAAAAAAAAATTGAAAATTATGAGTTGGGAAGTGGAGCTGTGGCTCAAAGTGGTAGAGTGCTACAGTGACCAAAGAAGAAAAAATAACATTGTAAGCTGACTGATTACAATGCATGGCAAGAGGTCTGTGCATAGGAAGGAGCGTTGAGCTGCATAGATTGGCTGAGACCAGCATACTACGCAGGTTGCAGTTACCTGATGCTGTGGGTTGGTTGGATTGGCTGCAATGACTTGATTTTCTTTTCTTGTTTCCTTTTTGGTCAGTCATGGGTCTTGAACTCTGGGCCTGGGTGCTCTTCAGCTCAAGGCGAGCGCTCTACCACTTGAGCCACAGTGCCACTTCCAGTTTCTTGGTGGTTTATTGGAGATAATCTCATGGGCTTTCCTGCCGGGGCTGGCTTTGAACCTTGATTCTCAGATCTCAGCCTCCTGAGTAGCTGATTACAGGCATGAGCCACTGGCGCCTGGCTGCTACTTTTTTTTTTTTTTTTGTTAGGGTTATATCACAATCAAATAAGACAGGTCTCTGCCAGTGTCAGGGTCATTCATTACTACCTGGGAATAACTTGGGTATCTTTCTGAAAGTAGTGCTAAGGTGCATCCACGGTCAGGGGAATCTGTGTAAAGAGGGGTGGTATGAGGGGGAATCTGTGTCTGTTTGCCTTTACTCTTTCTGTTGTTCCAATCCCAGCAAAGCATCTGCTGAGACCATCACTTTTCTGTTTGGTGGGATTCAGAGACAGGGAGTCCTGTGTCACTCAGACTGAATCCAAGATGCTGCCTTCTGACTTTCAAGTTGCAGGTTGTAGCAGGTTAGACTGCAAGTGAGGCTCCATGATAAAGGGTCTGCGCAATGTATGGGAGAGGCTGCTCAGCAAAGGCCCTTCTTGCTGTTCTCTCTGCAGGTTGGTGAATTCTGGCCTTACATCAGCTTGCTGTGCAGCTCTGTCTTCTGCACTCCAAGCTAACCACAGCCTCACACACCTTTACCTTCGAGGCAACGCCCTTGGAGACGGAGGGCTCAAGCTACTGTGTGAAGGGCTCTTGCACCCTGACTGCAAGCTTCAGATGTTGGAGTGAGTCATGATGGGGATATGTGGTGGAAAAGTAGAGCTCTGTGGGGAGCAATCCTGAGACAATCTCTAGCTAAGGTGGTGTCCTAGGGTTTGGCTTATTCCAGGATCATGGTACGAGGTGGGACTTTGTAGACAGGAAGTTGGCTTCCTGTCACCACAATCCTCTGTACCACAGAAAAGCAGAATTGGTATGGCATGCACGTGTTTGGAGAAGACAGCATTTTTTTTTTTTTGGTGTTGGAAATAATACAGGTTAAAATCTTAGGGCCTTGGGGAATGGCTAAAAGGTGTTTTCTTTAAATCACTGTTTCCTGCAGATTAGACAACTGCAGCCTCACTTCACACAGCTGCTGGGATCTTTCTACAATCCTGACCTCCAATAGGAGCCTCCGAAAGCTGAGCCTAGGCAATAATGACCTTGGAGATCTGGGGGTCATAATGCTCTGTGAGGTCCTGAAACAGCAGGGCTGCCTCTTGCAGAGCTTGCAGTAAGTGGGCTCTCGGGGCTTGGTGGTAGGAGTTCAAGGGAGATGGAAAGTTGCAACATTCAGGTTTTCTCTAGGTTCATTTGTACCTAGGGTTGGGCTGGGCTGGAGCCAGTTATTTCAGATTTTTTAAAGAAACATTTATTTATTAAAGAATTTTGTTGTAAATGTGATGCACAGAGGAGTTACAGTTACATAGATGAGGTCATGAATGCATTTCTTTTTGAACAGTGTTATCCCCTCCCTCATTTTCACCCGTTCTCCCCCACCCCCATTGCAGATTTTTAAAAATAGAGCAAATAGGAAATGAGATGAATGTTCAACACCATTCACATATTTAGAATAATCTAGACTCAGCCATGCCCTGGTGGCTCATGCCTGTAATTCTAGCAGCTCAGGATCAGTAAATGAGATTTGAGGATTTTAGTTTCAAGCTAGCATTAGACGAGAAGGTCTGTGAGACTTTTATCTCCAATTAATCACCAAAAAGCATAAGTGGAGGTGTGGCTCAAGCGGTAGAGTGTCAACGTTGAGTGGAAAATCTAGGGGACAGCATTCAGGCCTCAAATCCAAGCACCAGACTGGTCACACACACACACACACACACACACACACACACACAGACTCAATTGCCTGTGGAAAGACTTTCCACCTGTAGTCTAGAAAGAAACACTGTTTTATTTATGCTCTTTATAGAACTAATTTTTGATTCACTTTAAAGGGCTTCACTTAGTGTGAATATTGCTCTCATTTCTGAGGGTTTCTAAATAGTAGCACAGTGCTCTAGAAACAGAAGCTCACAGAAGGGACCGGTTCTTCTCTGCCCTGAGCGCAGTCTCACCGCCTCCCTAGTAAGAAACTTCTACGAGTCTCATGACTTCTGTCAGCCATGACTGACGCATTTCCCTCTGAAGAAATTTCTATTGCCTGCATGGTCACTCTGCTTGGATTTTATTTCTGGTCTTTCCACTGTGGTGTTTAATGGCCTCCCAAACTTTTTGTGTTCAAACCCTAACTCATGCTATTCTCTCCTGTCTGAGGCTTGCTGCTTCCTCATAATTGCTCAGGGCAAAACCATCCTGGTTTTGTTTTGGACATCTCTTTTCCTTATACACACCCCAGATCCACCAGCATGCCCTGTCAGCCCTGCTTTCACAGAGTGCTCACTCTCTGAGCACCTGTGGGCTTCATGGCTCTCACCAGGCTCAGGTACTGCCATGTCTTGTCTGGACGGTCGTGGAAGCCTCCTCACAGACCACCCCATGCTAGAGTTCTTCCTGTGGTAGTTGAAAGCTGAGTGAGATCACGTCACTTCCGACAACACCCTCCAGTGACTTTCTGTCACCCTCAGAGCAAGAGCTTCAGACTCACAGTGGCTGCTGAGATCGCTGGCAAGTGTAAGAGTCATCCCTGTTTCTCATTCTTATTTTTCTGCAATCATAGTGGTCTGTGAAAAAACACAGTCATCTCTGGGCCATTGCACTTGCTGTTGCCTCTGTCTGAACCTCTCTCTCCTTCAACGTCCATTTGTCTTGTTCCCACATATCCCTAAGTCATCTGCTCACTGGTCTTCTCATTGAGGCTGTTTTTCACTGGCCTACAGAAGACAGGAGCCCAGCACCCCTTTCTCCTCTTTTCTCACTTCCCCACAGATCATCATTATATGCGCTGTTCCACTTTCTTTTTCTTCTCTTTCTCTGCCTGCCTGCCTGCCTGCCTGCCTTCCTTCCTTCCTTCCTTCCTTCCTTTCTTTCTTTGTGGGGCTTGAACTCTGGGCCTGGGCCCTGTCCCTGCACTCTTCAGCTCAAGGCAAACACTCTACTGCTTAAGTCACAGCACTACTTCCAGTTTTCTAGTGGTTAATTGGAAATAAGAGTCTCATGGACTTTTCTGCCTGGGCTGGCTTTGAACCAAGATCCTCAGATCTCAGCCTCCTGAGTAGCCAGGATGACAGGCGTTAGCCACTGGCACCCGGCCACATGAGGATTCTTTATACCATCTTCTCTACTTTTATTTCTGTTTGAAAGATTTTCCATCATGAAGGTTTATAATATAACAAGCCAGATGTGGTGACACATTTGTATCACAGCTATTCAGGGTGCTGAGGCAAGATGATTGAACCCACGAGTTCATGGCTATCATGAGCAGCATAGTGAGGCCCCCATTTCAAAAAGAACAGTTCAAACATGACCTTGGACATGTAGTGTAGCTTTTCAGAGCACACAGTATGTAGATAAGGGAGGAGAAGAGGCCCGATTTTAAGGCCAACAGCTGTTTTCTAAAGAGGATAACCTAAGGCTTTCTATTTGTTTTTACAGGTTGTGTGAAATGTATTTCAATTATGAGACAAAGCGTGCCTTAGAAGCACTTCAGGAAGAAAAGCCAGAGTTGACCCTTGTCTTTGAGCCTTCTTGGTAGGCATGGATGGAGACGTGCAGTTGCTAGTATTTCTTGGATACAAGCCTGAGGTGGGGTGAGCCCCTCTCCATTGGTTCTCTTGGCCCAGTGTCACAACACAAAGGCTTACTGATGGTGCCTTGTATGGGGCACTTAGAGGCCTCCTTGACTCCTGGGTAAAGACACCGGGGATGGAAATGCACCCAGATCTGCAGCTGGAAGGTGCTCATTCTTGGTGACCTCATGTAACTAACTTACTCAGCAGAACACCTTTCCCACTCTTTACTCTCTCCGTCTCTTCTCCCTTCTTTATTTACTGCACGCATCTCACTCTGGCTACCTACTAACTGACCATAATACGGAGCTAGGTTGTGTGGCAGCTACTTATTTATTTAAAAATTTTTGTAACAATTATATTGTTGAACAAAAAATAATGGATGCTTATTTTAGCTACTTACAAATTTGAGAATACATAAACATCTCTTGTATTTATCAAGGTAAATTATTTCCTTAAATAAAAATGCCTACAAACCTTTTTTTTTTTTTTTTACGGTCAGCCGTGGGGCTTGAACTCTGGGTTTGGGCACTATCCCTGCGCTCTTCAGCTCAAGGCGAGCACTCTACCACTTGAGCCACAGTGCCACTTCCGGTTTTCTAGTGGTTTATTGGAGATAAGAGTCTCACGGGACTTTGCTGCCCGGGCTGGCTTTGAACCGCAATCCTCAGATCTCAGCCTCCTGAGTAGCTAGGATTACAGGTGTGAGCCACCGGCGCCCAGCTTGCCTACAAATCTTTTACATGATTTAAACTTCTAAAGATAGATTGCTTTATACATTTTGGAAACCTCTTTGTGCTCATTATGCTTAATGGGAAAAAAGGAGTTATTTTCTAGTAATGCTGATGGGTAGAATTCTACTAGCACAGAGGGACATAGTACTCAAGAGAAGGCTTTAAAGTAGCAGATCCTATATCCACCAAGAAGAATATTCTGTAGAAAGTGAGTCTTGCCTTCAGTTGGTAACAACTTATTTTGGATTTATCCCAAATAAAGTAGAAGAGTAGTTTATCTTTCATACTCCATATAGCATTAAATCACACATAAATAGCAATTAATTGCTTCTGTACAAATGGATAACTTTCAAGCACATGGCTTCACTTAGGGTGGAGATATAGCTTTCCCTGTCCAGTGAACCATCTAAATCTTTGCTTAAAAAGTGGAGCCATAAAGTGTTGATGTAATAAGAAGCATAAGCAAGAATATAAATCAAGACCAGGGGTGGTAACTGGCACTTGGAATTCTTGATACACAGGAGACAGATATGGGAAGGATGATAGTTTAAAGAAAGTCTGCACAAAAAGATAGCAAGATCTCATCTCAACCAATAAAGCTGGGCAGAGTGGTGTGTACATGTAAGGCATAAATAGAAGAATCCTGCTGCAGGCTGGTCTGGGAAAAAATACGAGATCCAAATTGAAAAAGAACTAAAGCCAAAAGGTCTGGATATATGGGGCTGGGAATGTGGCTCAGTGGTAGAGTGCTTGCCTACCATGCATGAAGCCCTGGGTTCAATTCCTCAGTACCACATACACAGAAAAAGCCAGAAGTGGCGCTGTGACTCAAGTGGTAGAGCACTAGCCTTGAGCAAAAGCAGCTCAGGGACAGTGCTCAGGCCCTGAGTTCAAGCCCCTAGACTGGCAAAAAAAAAAAAAAAGTTTAGGTGTATGACTCAAATGATGAAGTGCCTGCCTAGTGATTGCTAGGCCCTGAGTGCTCGCTCCCTGTCTCTGTCCCTGTCTGTCTCTCTGTCTCTCTGTCTGTCTCTCGCTCTCTGTCTCTCGCTCTCTATCTCTCTCGCTCTCTGTCTCTCTCGCTCTCTGTCTCTGTCTCTGTCTTTGTCTCTTTCTCTCTCTGTCTCTAACAGTCTTTCTCTCTCTCTCTCTCTCTAGCTCTCTCTGCCTTTGTCTCTTTCTCTCTCTGTCTCTGTCTCTGTCTCTGAAGGTCTTTGTCTCTCTCTCTGTCTCTGTCTCTGTCTTTGTCTTTGTCTCTCTCTGTCTGTCTTTGTCTCTTTCTCTCTCTGTCTCTGTCTCTGAAGGTCTTTGTCTCTCTGTCTCTGTCTCTGTCTTTGTCTCTCTCTGTCTGTCTTTGTCTCTTTCTCTCTCTGTCTCTGTCTCTAACGGTCTTTCTCTCTCTCTCTCTGCCTCTCTCTCACACACACACAGAGTGAAACAACATATCACTAAATATGTTTTTCAGATAAGCTGACTTTCTTTAAATAGCAAGACTTTTTTGAAGGGAACTTTTTTTTTTTTTGCCAGTCCTGGGGCTTGAACTCAGGGTTGAGCACTGTTCCTGAGCTTCTTTTGCTCAAGGCTGGCACTCTACCTCTTGAGCCACTCACTTCTGGCCTTTTCTGTGTATGTGGCACTGAGGAATTGAACCCAGGGTTTCATGTGTGCTAGGCAGACGTTTTACCACTAAGCCAGATTTCCAGCCATTGAGGGGGAACTTTGAAATTTACATTTTAGTGTCTAATCTGAGGTGTGTGTGTGTGTGTGTGTGTGTGACTGATGGGCTCATTAGCAGCAACCCTGGTTGAGGCCTTCTCTTTTTTCTTTTTGTGTTGGTTATGGGGCTTAAACTCAGGGCCTTGTGCTCTCTCTCTCTCTCTCTCTCTCTCTGTCACTTGGCTCTTTTGCTTAAGGCTACCACTTGAGACATACCCCTACTTCTGGCTTTTTGCTGGTTAATTGGAGATAAGAGGTGAGGATTTCTCTGCCTGGACTATCTTCAATCCATGATTTTTAGGTCTCAGCTTTCTGAGTAGGTAGAATTACAAGCGTGAGCCATTTGTACCTGGCTCTGAGAGATTCTTACTGACAAAAGCCAGTGGTTCAAATGGCAAAGTTAGCTGTGCTTGAAACAGCTGAGTGACAGCTTAATGCCTTGAAAAACATGAAATTAATGGGTTTCATTATAACAGCCTTGTGCATGCATACTGCAGATTGATCATATTTATTCCCATCTCCCTCTCCTACCCCTCCCCCATTCCCACCCCCTTTCTCTTCCCCAATAGTTGCCACTCCACTTGAGAGTGAACATGAATGTCTCACATAAACTTTGTGTCGGTCGTGGGTCTTGAACTCTGGGCTTGGCCACTGCCCCTCAGCTCTTCAGCTAAGGCTAGTGCTCTACTGCTTGAGCCACAGCGCCACTTCTGGTTTTCTGGTGGTTTATTGGAGATAAGAGTCTCATGGACTTTCTTGCCTGGGCTGGCTTTGAATTGTCATCCTCAGATCTCAGCTTCCTGAGTAGCTAGGATGACAGGCCTGAGCCACAGGTGCCCAGCTTTTTTTTTTTTTTTTTTTTTTTTTTTGACAGGGTTTCATTGTGTTGTAAAGGTTGATCTTCAACTCTTCAGCTTAAGCTGTCCTTCTGCATTAGTCTCTCAACTAGCTTGGATGACAGGTACAGCACAGTGCTTGGCTCGTGTGGGGTGTGTGTGTGTGTGTGTGTGTGTGTGTGTACGCGTGCATGTGCCCATGTATTAATGTAGTAGGAGGATACTTTGGAGGGGATTGTGCATGCACAAGCATTCTACCACTAAACAAGGCCCCCAGCTCCACAACTTTATTTTGACTGGAATGTGAAATGAATGACTGTTAAATATCATAGTTTTGCTCTTAATTGGCAACATTTAATACTCATGATCAAGAAAGTTCAAAGAAGCCTGCTTATATTCGCAATAGAGGCCACTGTGTTTCCATGGTTTTCTTGGAGAAAAATAGTACATTTGAAGGAGTTCCTGAAGAACACACATTCTAACATTTATAGGTGTCAGTGATTCTTCTCAGTTTTTCTCAAATAATTATAAAAGCACAAATCACCCGAACCATATGCAATGTTTGAAGTTTTGGGTTTCATTATAAAATCTACCTTTTTTCTGTCTACTACATACCAGTTTATCAGTTTATTAAGCATGCTTTAATTTACTTGCCAATTGAATTATTGAGACATATCCTCATACAACTTTGAGTGCTGTTGAAGCTTCTGGGAAATTCATGGTGTTTGCCCTGTGGAATCACATAGCTCTGGTATTTAATATTTAAGTGATCCCCTTTTCTAGCTATCTCTGCCAGATGGCAAACCACACCAACACCAAATAACACAGACCAAACTGTTGATTACATCTCACCCTTTCAAGAATTAGGAATTGGCTAGATCTCAGCTGAGCAATTCTTCTGCTCCTTGTTGTGTCTTCTGATGTCACTGGGTAGTATTGAACTGGTATTGACTAATCAGGAGACTCCAAAATGGCTGGCCAGGAGCTAGCTCACGGAGAGCTGCAGGTGGGGGCTCCCAGACGTGGCCTCCTTCACTGTCAGTCTTTGGGTTGACAGATTTCTCGGCGACTCAGGGATTTCAGACACAGTGTAACCACGCAACTCTCTATTTAACGGGAAGGAAATTAGATTCTACCTGTCACTGGAAGAAATAAGGAGAATTGAGGCTATCTCTGTAAACTAGCACATCTATTTTGAGAAACAGTTCTCAACAGTTTCAAATGTGCCCTAGAATTACATCGTATCTGTATATTGATATATGTACAGATCACCTTTTTCTAGGCCTCATGTTGTTTTGCTGTGATTTGAGTTGTGTGTTGGATCTGTGGCTTTGAGCCACTGTGCAGTGATTGCTGTATGGCAGTCCACTGGGAAAATCCTCTGTGTTCTTGGTACCTTATTGTTCTTATTGTTTTTTTCACAATTCTTAAATTAGATCTTACGGAAACTTTGATATCTACATATGTATAAATATATATATCATATATATAAAATGTCTCACTTCTGCCTTTACTGTGAGAAAGTCTTATAAAATCTCATATACTTGTTGTTTTATGGGTTTGGTTAGGTTGATATTTGGCCTATATAAGGCAGCAGGGTGAAAACAAATAAACTAATTGTAAATGGATCTTCAACATGGAAAAACAAAGAGCCAGTATATGATGCCAGCGTCTGAGTCCAGTCCACTAAAGGGGGAGGGCTCCCGGAGCCCGTGTTCATCCCAGTTTCCTCTGCTACCACCCGGGGTGGTGACTGGGCAATACGGCAGGCTCTAATAATCTCACATGAAAAGGGGAACAGAGATCGCATCACAGACTGAGTCTTGAATGGTTGCTGCCAATAAATATGAGCATATTGTCTGCATCTTGGAAAATTCTTCAAGTGTTAACTGTAATAATCATTCTGAACTGTTTTGGTTGGTTCTGAGGTTCAATCCGTGGGCCTTGAACACACTAAGCAAGTGCTGTTCCACAGTCACATGTACAGCCTTTCACACTTTTATTTAAAGTTTTATTGTTTAAGCCAGGCACCAGTGGCTCATGCCTGTAAACAGAGTTAGTCTGGAGACTGAGATCTGAGGATGATGATTTGAAGCTAGCTTGGGCAGAAAACTCTGCAAACAATCTCTCTCTCTCGCTCGCTCGCTCGCTCGCTCACTCGCTTTAAAACTTATTTTTTGTCAGTCCTGGG